AGTTCCATGGAATCACATCAAGATTAAAATGTGTTAGAAGCTAGAGAAGAATAATTGCAACTTAGTATATTCGCAGGCAATATAACATAATTGATATTGCTTTATGTAAATGTAGTTGATAATCAAACTTTCTAAAACCTTCAATTGTATGAATGCTTCAAACTATCTTTAATATTTGATGTTAAGAAATATTTCTTTCTGTTGAGTCCTAGACCTTTTGTTTTTAATTCAAGCAATCAAACTGCCAAATTACTGTAATTATTAACAGCATAGGTCATTGATAATCAGCTGAATTTTAGAACTGCTTTGGGAAACCCTATTTTGTAATGAGACACATTACTTCTTGCATTATTGTATATTGTAAGGTCAATGGGATAAACTGCTTGATGCACAGTAGATTTTATAATCTTAAATATAGTTGCACTCACTATTGTATAAATAATTCTATTGTTATAATAAAGTATTACTTTTGACTTTGTGTAATAGTGTTTTCTAATTCTTTGACTCATCAGATGCACAATAATTAAACTTTTCTAAAAAAATAAAATAAATTTGCCAGTACTCTCAGGAATTGAAAACATGATAAACTCTCAATTTTTGCCTTTTGAGTTTAGTGGTTACTGTAAATATCATTAAAAAATGTCCAATTTTAAAAAAAAATTTGGAGACCTGAAGAAGTTTTGGTGCCAATTGAAATTAAAAATTTGAATTAAACTCAGAAAATTTCATAGCAATGGGTAAAGTCATTCCTGATGCAAAAAGTATAAGAAGTAATAGTGAAGGGTCAATTGTGACAGAATCAAAAATCAAAAGAAAACTTCCCAGGACATTTCATCAGTAAGCAATTTATTTTTAGTTTTTTACAGTATACTATTATATTGATTGAAATTAGACCTGCATTAACATGATAAACATCCCTAAGGATGAAGTACTATGAAAACAGTTGATACAAAATGTTCATCAAGAAAAGTGGTCACCCAAAAAGCAGATGTTTATATGTTCTGACCACTTTTGTTCTGGTTGCATTGTCCATACTGTTCTGTTCTCAGAAAGCAGACACTTATATGCTCTGACCACTTCTGTTCTGGCTTCATTGTTCATTGTCCATATGTTCTGGCTTCATTGTCCATACAGTCTTTTTACTGAGCTAGATCACCATATTTTTGACTCACCAGTTGGTGAAAATCATGTTATATATTTCAGTTGACCAAGAGCATCATCAAGAGTTACTGTGAGGTTAAATTTTACCATCTTGGAAAAAAGACCACTGAGAATTCATCTGGACAAAAAATTAGAAAGAAATTAAATAAACTTGTACCTTTTACTGTAAGCACCAGTGTGAGTGATTACACAGAATGTATCAGAGAAAGCTAAATATTACTAAAATTTACTATGAAACTGCCCAAGCTGAAAGTGCAGACTCTGCCTCAAACATAATTTTACTAAAGATTTATAGTGATAACTGCCCAAGCTGAAAGTGCAAACTCTGTCTCAAACGTTTCACTAAAGATTTAGAGTGAAAACTACCCAAGCTGAAAGTGCAGACTCAGACTGTCTCAAACATTTCACTAAAGATTTACAGTGAAAACTGCCCAAACTGAAAGTGCAGACTCTGTTTTTACAGTATAAACTGCCTACGCCGATAGTCGAAACGTTACTTACCAACTTCCATTTCCATAAAGTGGTGCCAGAAACCGTAAGTACATGTATTGATTAGACGATACTTCACCAGAGAATCACTCACAGATTCAAAACAAGTATATAAAGCCAATGTCGTAATTCGAAATTTTTAGCTTTAAAATGCGATTCAAAGACAACAACATCGCCAATTAATGTTTTTTCTTGTACCCTTTTCCAAAAAAGCTGCGATTTCAAGGCGAACGTACCTCAAAAAGGTATTTTTAATCCAGAAATGCAAAAAAGCCTCGAAAAGTATAGTATTTTCTATAGCATTTCATTGATGAGTGGGAACGACCAATATGGCCGCCGCCTATTTTCATGGGGGAAACCGCTGAGATTTTTGGCTTCAGTTTTGTATTCCGAGATGCGCTATCTAGTGTATATGAGATATCTATGAGTAGGGCACAGTTTCCAGGATTTCTAGTCAAAGATGGCAAGAAATTCCACGAGGGGCCCAAGCAAGTTTCTGCGCTAGTTCAAATAAAGTTTGTTTTTGCATAATATACACTTAGTACAAAAAACGCCTGGGGAAATTTTTAAATTATAGAGTTGGTAGGGTTAGTGGTTTTGTTGGGGAATTAGGTTCAAGTTTAATATTTTATTTAAAACAATGCTATAGTCATATTTATTTCGAATTCATATTAACTGTGTTGAATGAATAACATTGTACATTAACTGTGTTGAATGAATAACATTTTAGTTTAACTATAAAAATACTGGTATACCCATTAAGAGGGGGGGGGGGGGATATTTTCTAAAGCACTCCTTGCATGGTGCTTATAGATATCACTAGTTTTCATATGCATCTGCGTTCAATAGTAATACAGGGTTCGAAATACCAGCCAACTGTCGCTAGCATTTTCACAGCGCTAGCCGCTGACTTCTAAGACTATACGTTTACACTAGAGCAAACGTTTCCTGATTTGTAAAAGTATTCGGATTCCTTGTTTTTCAAATATATGGATGCGTGAGGCATTTACACTACACAGCCTTAGACAGCAATAATCAATAAAAAGTAAATAATTTTAACGTCTAAAATTAGTGATATTATGCCATGTTTTGACCTTGTTTGACGTTTGAATTTAATAGCAAGAAATTTGAAAAACATACACCGGAACAAATTGATTCAGATTATTTACGGAAAGCCGTTAACACGAGAGTTTTCCTCGGATTTAAATGTTTCCAGATACGAAGTTCCCACAAACGTTTTCGGATTCAAAGTTTTCGGACACGGGACGAACTCGAGAAGATTTACTCTCGGATTTGTCGCTGCGTGTGTCAAGCCAGTTTTCTATTACCTACCGAAACGTACTGGTGAACATGCGCAGATTGAACAGAGCAAAAAGGTTAACAAATCCACGTACTTCCGGGTGTATTCGCGTATTAAAAAGAAATTTTTTTCGCAAGTCAACTTTTTGGCGTACTACAGAAGTATTAACCAATCAAAAATCACTAAATTTTGAAATTTTAAAATTTTTTGATACGTTTCGGTACTGCGTACGCTTGAAGTGGAACCCCTGCCCTAAATGGCAACATGAATCCGGTACTAAAACGTTCAGGTTTTGTGATGAATCCGAAAACTTTCGCTTTGGTGTTTCTATATAATGACCTATACAATGAATTTCTAAGTTGTCCATGGCTCTTTTATATGCATCTTTAATTTTCATCATAGGCGTTCTGAAGAGGCTTTTTGAAAAGTGTTTTGATTTCTTTATACTTAAAAAGACTGTTGTCGCGTATGTGCTCAATTTCTGCCGCCGTTTTTAGGGATTATCTATAATATATATGGGTTATCTATAATATATAGGGGATGTTTATCAGGGGCATAGAAACGGGGTGGGGGGCAAGGAGGCCTAGGCTCCCAAGTTTTCAGAAGACACAAAAAGTGCCCTTTCGCCGGTGGCAAAGTGTTCTTTGTTTTCGTGAAAAATGTTGCTCAGAAGATAACTTGCAATTCTTCACAAAAATGCCCTTCAATAAATAAATGTCCATGAAATAAGTAAATTTAACTTTTGGTTGATATTTTTTTAAAAAAATGATTGTACATTGCAATTCGAAATTTGGACAAATGTATTATATTAAGCATGGACTATGATGATATGATTGCAAACATATATTCGTGTTCACAAACATATATTCATGTTCATATATTCGTGTTCACAAACCTTAAAAACAATCGATTTCAAAAGAAATTAATAATGCAGAACACAAATATATGAATATGGTCCCCCCCCACTTATCGATCTTTCGACACCCATGATTGCAAAGTTGTTTTCCTTCCCCCCTGTAGCCAACACTTCTAGGTAACCCGCCAGCATTTTTAGGCGCTCTTTTCATTATCCAAAAGTGACCCTCAAAGCCGGTGCCTTTTCCCCCCCCCCAACTTTTTTATGCTTCCTACGCCACTGTTATTTATAATATATCTAAAAATTTATATATCTGATACCTTGCTGAATTAACCTTACATGATTTTACATGTCCATCGGGTCGTTCTAGAAAATATCCATAATCGAGAGGTGAAAAAATTTGTTTCTGAGAAAGATTAATATGTAAACCACTTAGACTTGAATCAAATTTTCATTCTACTTTGACATTCCCATAAAATGATACTAGTAAATGATATTGGAACAACAAATAACCATATGTCGTTGCTCGCCAAATTATGATTGGTAAATTAATCAGACGCTGTCGAATATGCCAATCCCCACACCTCGTCTCCTTGCTTAAGTGAAATTTTAGAGTGCCTACACGTGCAACAGAAGAAAGGAGGGACTGCAGACAACACATCAAGAAACGAAATACGCGTTGTCCACACACAACGCAAAATCCCGATTGGTCGATGTAGTTGATCGACAGATCTTTTTTGAAAAAGTTAATTAAATTCAAATTAATGTATTGTTTTTCAAATTTGAAAGTCAACCGTCAAATTATGTTATATTAATTAAATCTCGTAGCATTTTTATTCATACTGTCTGAAAGCGTTTGGTATGTTATTTCGAGCGAATACAATTTAATGTAATACCATATATGTATTTTGCTTGTAAGACGTAAACTTCGTCGTTTCACTGCATGTAAACTTGAATTTTTACTCGTCTTTTTATAACAATACGATACGCGCTATAATAGATACTTGTTCACAACGCCAAAATAATTCTATTGCAGCTAAGGGGCAGTGCGAAAAGTGGGCGTATTTCGTTTCTTGATGTGTTGTCTGTAGTCCCTCCTTTCCTTTCAAGGAGGGACTGCTCGCAGTCTAGTAAAATGTATGCAAGATATGCCTTTTGTTTATTACTTTTGTTGCAGTATACTGATGCGGTGTTATGGCTTCTGTCGATCTGCAAGAAAAGGCAAATTTTACAAGACTCAGTAGACTTTTGGTTGACAAAGGAACTGAAGCTTTGAAAACTACATTAGATGCTATTCATCCTCCTGCCAGTTTACCTGCGGTGCTTGCTGCCAATAGGACATCCCTTCTAAAGTTAAAGCCTCGAGTTATTAATGATTCCCAATGGGACTTACTATACCCCCCATCCAGCAACCCGTCAGATTCCAATACCTTTGATGTTACGTTACTTACAGTTCTATTCAGGAACATTTGTGGCTTACCGAAAACAGGATGGGATGCAATACCAGTGGAAACAGATAGATCAATGCAAGCAAATATCGTACGAATCAAGACGTATAGAAATAAAGTTTATGCACATGTGACGTCAACTCAAGTGGATAATACAACGTTTGAATCTTTATGGTCAAAAATTTCCCAGGCTTTGGTTGAATTGAACATTCCTCAGAATGAGGTCGACGAATTGAAAATACGCGCTTTAGGACCCGAAGAAGAAGTATACGTGAGAATACTTAGAGATTGGAAATTACAAGAAGAAAGCCTAAAAGATGATGTTACGTCCATCAAACGTTCTGTAAATCGTTTGACACAGATAACAGAAGCTGGAATACAGAAACTCTGTCAGTCAGCTTTGGAGGAAGTCCCTAAAAAGGCCAATCTTGAGAAAAATCGAGACAAGGAGAATGAAGATCTCTTGCGAAAACTCGCAAAGCATAATTTCAAGAGTAAAATTAGAAGTAAAGTCAAATTTTTCCTGCCTGGCACAAGACAGTGGTTATTAAAGGAGCTGGACAAGTGGCTTATTGGGAACGAACACGAATCGAAAATATTGGTATTAACTGCTGGACCAGGGTTTGGCAAAAGTGTGTTTGCAGCTAAAGTCTGTGAAGATTTTAAGAAGAAGGGAAAGTTGGCAGCATGCCACTTTTGTGACTTCAGTGATTCAAACCTACGAAATCCTATGATGATGCTTCAGTCTCTCGCGAGTCAAATGTGTGAAAATGTCGTAGGATTTAAAGAGAAGCTTCTTGATCAGTTGCAACGACCTCATCAAGTCCGAAGCCTAAAGGATGCCTTTGGAATATATTTGCAAAACCCACTTGATGAATTGGAAGTAAGGGAACCCAGTTTAGTCGTGATCGATGGCTTAGATGAGAGTGCGACAGATGATAAGAATGAAATTGTAAATTTGATTGCTGGTTATTTTCCAGATCTTCCTGATTGTATAAAGGTCCTGGTGACGAGCAGGCCGGAGATTTCCTTGGAAAAACTAAGCGGTCTTCTTAAGATCAATATTAAAAACGATAATGTCAAGAATAACTCAGATCTTAAAATGTACCTCAAATCTTGCCTTCCTAGTCTACCTGACAGGAAAGAGGAGTCACCAGTATTTCAAATGCTTGTTGAGATGTGCGAGGGCTCATTTTTGTATGCGTTTTTCGCTCAATCTGAGCTACAAAAACGCGATGATCTTGACAAGGTGAAGTTTGATGAAATTATCAAATTTGTCCCAAAAGGCCTGGATTCTATTTACGAAGCTTATTTTAAACGCCTCGAAGCTGAACTTAAAGCGATAATGCCCGGAAATCTTGATGTGTTGAGAGTCTTGGAAATGCTAGTTGCTTGTGAAGGACCCCTTCCACTCACTTTCGTCGCTCGGGCTTTTGGTTTGGCTTCAGATTGTCGCGAAACGAAAAACATAATTAACAAAGTCAATATGGCAGTATCGTGCTTGTTATACGTTTCTGATGATCTGGTGACCGTTTTCCACAAAACCGTTATTGATTGGCTTCTGGCGAAGGGCTACAAAGATCACGAGTACACTGTCAAAGTCAGTGATGGAAATAAGTCGCTTTGGCTGATATGCGAGCAGATTTTTGAAGATATTAAGAAGTCTGTTTGTTCCGGGCATGACGTAAACTTAGCTAGTGACGCAAAGTATGCTGTAAAAGACGGCCTTCGAAATCTTCTCGCATGCAATATGAAGGAACGTTTTTTTTGGTTAGTGGATGTAGTAATAATACACTTTAGTTCAACTTATTTCGGCGAAACCGAAATGCTTACCCTTTGGTCAGATATTCTTCGTGTTGACGCAGTCATGAACGACGAATTACGTGCACGAATTTCGTGGCATATCCTTGTAATGGACTTTTTGTTACGATTTAGACCAAACTTTGACGTTCCTAATATGTCTTCAATACAGTCATTTTATTTACAATGTGTTCTTACACATTCTCCAAAAGGTTATTTCAATGATCAAGAAAAGAAAATTGCAGAGTTACTTTTATCAAAGGTCTTAAGATTTGTAGATATTACTTGCAATCATGAAGTGGAGGTTATGCCACTTGCAATCTGGTATCTTTATCCAAGAAGGCCAGGGCTTGCAGCTTTTGGTTTCTCCACGAATATGACAATGGCAACGATCGCAGATGGAGATGGAAAAATTTCAGTGGTTCGTATGCCGGGTTTGGTTGAGATCTTTCATTATTTTTCTGAATTTAAAGAATGTTCATGTTGTATATTTGCTCCAGATGATTCGTTCGTTTTATTTGGAAAACTGAAAACTGTGCTTAACATTGCTGAAAGAAAAGAAGTACCATTTTTCCAAAGAAATGAAGAGACGTTTACGTCGTGTGCATTTTCCCCGAACGGAAAGAGGCTGGTAACTGCCAACGGTTCAAGCACAATTAAGTTATGGGATGTTGCTAAGCAAAACTTACTCTCGTTGCTATGTGCTGAAATTCCTGTTAAATGGTGTTCTTTCAGCAGCAAAGGGCTGTTCATCATTGCAGATAGGAGGGTTGATGATTTCATCCAATTCAACGATGAAGATTTGTTTTGCAGTTGGAACGCCATTACACTGCAACGGAATGATGAACGAGTCTTACCTGAAACAAGTTGTAAGGAACAAAAAGCATTCCGGAGTAAGCTATGTAAACGTTGTTTTCTTCCAGCATTTGAAAGACTACCGATATCTAAAAGATTATATGTAGAGCGATGTATGGCGTCGGATGGCAGGAAAATACCATACAGTACCTGTTCTACAGGAATTTACAATGGTGTAGAGTGTATTTTTGCTTTGCAGCAACAAATTCTGGGTGTCATAGAAAACACTCATTTCACCACGCTTGCTGCTTGGAAATGTATTGATCATATTTCATTCGATCAGTTTTTTTGGAGACCCCCTAAAATAACAAAGAGTGAAGGTGATATGTGGCTCTTCGCATCTCCAGAAAAACTAATGGTTTTTAGAACATTAGTTCCAAAGTGTCCCACGAAGGTTCTTTGGAGTTCGTTTTTTCCTGATGGTTCCCGACTCGCAACTTGTTCTTCAGATGGATGTATTAACATATGGAATGTCGATACAAGACAAGTTGAGCAGCTTTTCAAGAGCAATCAGGATGAATCGCCATTTGCTTGTTGGTGGTCGAAAGAGTTTTTATTCGTGTTGTTTAGCTTTTGTGACAGGATTTTCAGCTTATTGAAATACCCAATGGATGTCAATCTAAAGATTCTATTCTCTCAGAGCAAACAAGTGCCTCTAGGGCATTTAGTGGGTGCGATCGTATCGTTATCTGCAGTCGTTGACTTTTCGGAGGGCTTTCTCATTTTCGAGTGCGGAGAAAAGAAACATGTAAAAGTTCTTGATGTAAACAGAGTCGGAAAACCGCGGGAGGTAATCTTACCTGGAATTGAGCTTCAGATGAGTATTTCAGTTTCGCCTGGCGCTTCTTTTGTTTTGGGCTATGGTAAATATAATTATTACATTTGGAAAATAAATGCCGAAGAAGCGGGTGTTTATGAAATATTTTTTACCAGCTCGGCTACACGAGGTCCCTCTGATAGTGTATTTTGCTTCAGTAGTGATTCTAAAGTTGCTGTGGTTGCGAGCGGGGAAGTTGATTATCTGGAGCAAAGTCAAATTATTGACTTGGATTCCGGCTATCACAAACGTGTGTTTTTTAATCCTACTTGTGATAGTAATTACAAACTGTTTTGTATTAACAAATACAGAATTATTATCATTGCAAGTCATCAGTGTATAGAAATTTTAGACATGGACTCCGGTGCGATTCTGGACTCTCCTTCCTTGCAGGGATATTTGACATGGCAGTTTTTAATACAAACAAAACTTTCTCCAAACGAGACTACGCTAGCTTTTCCTACGATAAATGGCGATATGGAATTTCTTCGACTGTCCATTCCGCAAAACCCACTTTTGTCTAGTATCAAAGATAAGGCAGCTATTAAATGGGACAAGTGTATGAAAGAGTTTGTATATTTTTGAATGTCAATGGTCTGAGTTTCCCATTACCACTGAAATGTTTGCATTATAAAAACCAGCTCACAATGAATAAGAGAGGATACCGTATACCGTACACAAGCAATGAACAGACTGTATATACAGAACAACGGTTCACCCATCAAAGATTGAGAAGACGGTTTGTCAAGTTTGAGTTTCAAAATTCTAGGAAGACCAAGCTAAAATGATAATAACTCTTTCGCTGATTTTAAAATAAGACAAAACAATGCTACAAAAGAGTTTTTCAACGAGAAAGATATTTATAAGGGTATGAACATCATCGTTATGCCCATAATTTCGGGGGCAGCGGCTAGACTTTGCTTGGAGCCAGTCTAGAATGGAGAAGTAAGAAACCTCCTTCCCTCCGCTTGTCTGGGAGTTCACCTTAGGCAAGTGATAGTACTCCCTTGCCTCCCTACCAGGGGTTACAGCTTCTAATTATGGGGTCTTGACCGTGACAATCTAATGCAACATTGCACTCGTGCGATGGTGTTGGTGATGGATCACGTTGGTGATCATGATAGTGATGGTAATTTTATTGCTGTGTTTGATAGTGATGTTAGTGACTGAAGTTGGTAGCGATGTTTCTGATTATGCTGGAGTAGTGAGAATGATTATCGAAATGACAGTTGTGATTATAAGTGCATAGTTGTGGTAGTTGCGGTGATTTGTCGATGATTCTGATATTAGTGATATTAGTAATATTTAATGGTGGCGATTGGTCAGATAATAATGGTTAGAGTGATGATTGTGCTTATAATTGGTGTTATGACAGGTAGTGGCAGGTAGTTACATGGTTGTGATAATGGTTGTAACCATGGTGATAATGGTGGTTCTTGTGGTCGCTGGTATATATATATATATATATATATATATATATATATATATATATATATATATATATATATATATATATATATATATATAATGATGGTCGCTGATAATATGTGATGTTAGGAATAATGTTGGTGGTTATTGTTATGATTGTAGTGTTCGAAGTTTCGTACGAACGTTTAGTGGTGGTCGGAATATGATAGTCATGATGATGTTGTCATAATAATGATAATGATATGATGGTGCTTATGCTTAGTGATGCTTAGTGTTATGACAGTTAGTGATGGAATCGTGAATTAGTGTGTTTCGATGATGGTGATTTGCTTGTGGTTGGTTTACGATGTTAGCGGGTTAAAAATAGTGTTTATTGTTGGGTGGTAATAATGATAGTGCTGGCTAGGTTATTGTGATTGATATTATGATAGTAGTGTTGATGATTGTTTCAGTAGTGTTGTTGTCAAAATGGTGATTGAAGTGGTAGTGGTAATTATGGTTGTACAGGTGACGATCATGTCACCTTCATGTGTATTTCTTGTCAGGAATCCGTTATTGTTGGGGTTTATCGTATCAAGTAAAACCAAGAAAATGACAAAAGCATACCTTGAATGTTTAAAGCATCTGCGTTAGTTAGAAATCGGACAGATTCGGTTTATTGGAACTATTATTGAACCGATGATTAGACCATGTAGTTTTCAATCCACCACCCGGGTCATGAACATTTGTCAGATTTGTAACTGGAAGTCTGGACGAACGTGGAAAAAGAAAAGTTTGTCCCTATGATGATTCGTTTGTGTATGAACGTGGCAAAGAGACGGACTTGACGGTGTTCTTCATTAGCAGAAGTGTGTATTACACCCGTTTTCAGAATTACGTGTCCTATCCAATAATAATTTTAGTTCAAATGTCTGCCTAAAATAGCAAACCTAAACAAAAGACGTTTTAAACTGTAATGAATATAAAAAATAAAACGTTGCTCCCCTATAGGTAGCCAAGCACTTGAACTTAAAAAATATGGCACAAGAACAAACGAACAGAAAACAAATCGAGCAAAGTAATTTTGCCCATGAAATATGAACCAAAATGAGCTTGATTTACACAAAAAAGGAACAACAAATCATCAGTGCCGTAGCCAGAACAATAATTGGGGGGGGGGGGGCATATATTCATATATTCGTGTTCACATGCCATAAAAACAATTGATTTCAAAAGAAATTAATAAAGCAGAACACGAACATGTGAATATGTGCCCCCCCCCCAATTATCGTTCTGGCTACGGCACTGCAAATCATCAATTACAACAAAAATATGTGTTCTGAATTACTTTCAAAGTTTGAAAAAAGAACGATTGAACCTTGAATATCAAAAATATCAATCCTTCGAATTTACAAAGCATGTACATCAATAACGAACGACAAAACTCAAAGTTGTAAACAATTTGAACTTCGTGGTCGCGTGACATAAAACTGACATGTCAACTCTAGCCGCTGTTTTCGACCTGGTTGCGTGATTTTGAAAACGGGTGTAATTCCTAAGGCAAGTAAATTAACTAGCAATTGAATTCGGTGGTTCCTGCCTGTGCTGGCCGAGACATAGAATCTGACCATGATAAATAAATTCTGACCCTAACCACAGTATAAAGATAAACAGTAGGGCCACTCTGGGGAGACAAAAGTGGGACTTTTTTAAGCTAGATCCCAGGTGTGTTGCGAGGCCAAAACCATTTATTCTGTAATACAATTTTATAGTGAACTGTTGCCGTTTACTGGCTGCCAATATACTAATCAGGTTGGCAGCCAGTAAACAATGCGGACACTTTCCGACGCTGAGTGGCATACCGTTGTTTCCCTATACTGTGCCCTAGGCCTGATAAAAGCAGAAGTATGTGATAAACAGGTTATCACAATCGGGATGAAAGCGATAAAACTGACATCACCTCACACATATATAAATATAATTTTGTTTGTTGGTAAATGCAAATTTTACATGTACACTTGATCAGAATTAACTGATTAAGAACATAATTAAGCATATCTGTATGCATAATTAAGATTATTTATTTGAATAATATTGGCCGATTAAATTGCATACAAATATGACGAATCACATATTGTGATATCTGGTAATTAGTTTGGTTTAGACTAGATGTAATAGCCATTTTGTCAATTTTTTGAAAAGATTTCATTTGTACCTATTTATTTGTAATACTTTAGTCATAGATGTTCCCAAAGAAGGGCTTTCGCTCGAAACGTCGAAGTTCTGCTTGGTTTATCTTCCAAACCGGTTTGTCATATTTTTACAAATGGTCAGTCGCATGCGAGATTCCAATTCTGAATCTAATCAAGTGTAGCCTACGGTGTAGACCCCGGGAGAAACACGTTTCGTGTTTCTGCTGGGGTCTACACCGTAGGCTAAATCAAGTGTGGAAGAGGGATTTGCAATCGATGTGACCAGAGGCTCTTCCTTCTCGCCTCTCGTTTCTTTCGCCTCGCAAAAAGCCTCCGGAACCAGGGGAAAGGAGCAGAGGAGTTTAGTTATATTTTTACTACAGAATTAAAGTATACCGTAGAAATAAGCCACAACTTTTCGAGTAAAATTGACCCATTAAATGTTTTAAATGTTAAAATTCCAAAATGTAAGGGATCGGTCATAAAGTATGTGTACTGGGGGTGGAGGGGTATTCCAAAATTCTACCATAAAATTTAACACCCCCCCCCAAAAAAAACAGCGTCGGAGAATATTTAATACCCCCCCTCAAAGGAGATGAAATGTTTCGTCCCCCCAACCAATCACCCTCTCCCCAAAAACATAAAATTCTAAGAACATAACTGTTTTGCAAATTATTACAATCCATTGTCTGTATTGAAATATTTAGTGTAGTCAATAAATAGAGAGTGTTGAACATGATATCTCGCGAATGAGCGCAGCAAAACAAGTGAGATATCATGTTGAACATAAGAAGTTATAAGAAATAAGTCTGCTATTTCCAAGCACCCATGTATTTTTCTGTTTATTATATAAAGGACAGTCTTTGAAAAACGATATTTTTACAGAAAAGCGATAATTGAAAAGCGATAATTTTCAACTTTTTCACATGATTGTGAGATTATTATCATTTATAGACCCGGAGTGAGGGGGATTCGGCGTAATATTTCCCGAAGTGATGATATTTTCCGAGGGGCCTTTGCCACGAGGAAAGTATCATCACTGAGGGAAATATTACGCCGAATCCCCCGAGCGGAGGCCGGAGGGTCTATAAATGATATATTATACCGAAAGTTAAAGTACTCACTAAGTTCAAAATAAACTTAAATAAAACTTGCTGGGTATTATAAAATACACCAATATATTAATACAATTTTTAATTTCTTATGTATACCTGAGTTTTTAACGTTTCCTCTTTAAAATATTTGAGCATGTATCCTTTAGATTATTAAAGGTAACATACAGTACGTCTTGAAAATATTTTGCTAAGGCAAATATTCTGTATGAAAATACGAAATCACAAACAACAGCTCGCGAACGCCATATTTTTTTAGAGCGTGGTGTCCACGCGTCGCGCGTGAGCGTGGGATACTGTAATATCCCACGGTGGATCTGCCGTGGGATATTATAGTATCACACGCTAGATTGCGAAATTGTGAATTTGAGTGAAATACCGTAAAAAGTCACATTATCACGTGGTACAAATGCTGTTTTTTCATTGGACAATTTGAATTTGAGGTATAATATTCATAAATGATCTCCCATGTGAGATTATATATATCTATAAAGCACTATACTTTATTTAATAATACTTTTTTATTATATAAACATAAGTTATATAAAGTTTTTGGCTACTGAGAAAAATCGTATTCAAACACACGTAAAAAATACGACAATTTTACGGGAGAAAATATTATTTGTTGTAAGCCGCATTGCCACGGACGTTTTATTGTTTTTCACTGAATTTCGCTTATATAATAAACAGAAAAATACATAGGTGCTTGGAAATACCAGATTTATTTCTCGTGTTGAACGTGATATCTCACTTGGTATTTCCAAGCACCCATGTATTATTCTCTATTTATATGCCCTTGGTGAAAATCTGGGTCAGATCTAGAAAAAAGGAAAACATTACTCAAAATCCTAATACCAATTTTCATACAAAAACGCTCAAAACACGTTACCAATTTATTAATTAAGAAATTGTGGAACAAACAAATTACTCGCGAAATTATTTGCTCTCCAGTTAGTTGCAAATTTCTCCTGCGACATTTTGATTGGATACTAAATATAAACTTTGCTGTGGGTGGAAAGCGATCGGATTAAGGTTTGTGTCAGGCCATATTTCTAAAATAGAGCCTGATCTCACATATTTGTAGACTTTGGTTATATCAACAAAACGTCGTGACGTATTTCATATCTTTCTCAATATTTAAATCATTCTAAAAGTAAACGAGCAGGGAGTCACCCAACGGTAAAATGACGTAATCAAAGACTGTTCAGGTTGCAGACATGTCAAACTAATAGGTTTCGATTGAGACACTTTCACAAAAACTACGCTACATTGCAATTTACGGGTAGGAACATTTAGGAACATACACACTTTTATTAATCATAGACATAGTATTTCACTCACTTTTTGTTTCGTATAGTTAAACGTGAACAAGAATCACGTATAATAAATACATCATTGAATGAAACATCAGACGTCATATGTCTGATATATATATATATCGGATCGTGTTAGGGACCGGTCATAAAGTATGTGTACTGGGGGAGGGGAGAGGGAGATTTCATGTCTTTCTCAATATTTAAATCATTCTAAAAGTAAACGAGCAGGGGAGTCACCCAACGGTAAAATGACGTAATCAAAGACTGTTCAGGTTGCAGACATGTCAAACTAATAGGTTTCGATCGAGACACTTTCACAAAAACTACGTTACATTGCAATTTACGGGTAGGAACATTTAGGAACATACACACTTTTATTAATCATAGACATTGGGGGTGTATGAAACAAACTATCTAACCTTGGGGGGGGTATGAGACGAATAACGACATTTGTGGGGGAGTACGTGTTGTACTTATCCTGTCTCTATTTCAAATCATTTACGAGCAATTGAAAATACTTTATAAAAATCAATTGTACTGCAGTAGCATTGGCTAAGCTTATATATAGGTCAGTGGGATTTTACTTTAAGTGTGCAACTAAGTATGATCCTACATATTTTACTTTAAGTGTGCAACTAAGTATGATCCTACAAATAGAACTGTAAATATTTTACTTTAAGTGTGCAACTAAGTATGATCCTACATATTTTAGAAAGTGTGCAACTAAGTATAATTTGGAGTGGAATAACCATTTTAGCGTAAATTACCGGTATATCAGTGACCTGTTTATATACGCATATATTATTTTCTGATTATATTCTAGTCTAGCTGGTGCTTGGCGGCCATTCACTTTTTAAAGTTGTCGATTGACCACAAGGAAGGGTGGAACAACGATTTATTGCCATTTGTATATTCATGTACGCGTGGCGTATCTATTTTTCTGTCTGCCGATTGGTCAAAACCGTATCACGTGCCGGTCCACAAAACTTATTATTATTTATTTAAAAAAATCCTGGTTTCTGATTGGCTAACAGCCAACTGTGAAATTGTCATATCAACTCAATGGCTAACCAAGTAGGGATTTTTCACATTCATAATAGCAAAATGACGTCAAAGAGTCAATATGAAAAAAATTTGGACGCGTTTGCGCCATATTACTAGGACGACGAGAATCATATTGACTCGCTGACGCCATCGATATGACGACGACGACGGCTGCCGAAGGACTAGGGAATTGTTTTTTCCTTAACACAAATAAAATACAAATGACTTCTTCCACTGAAAGGTTTAGGTTCGCCAACTTTGGCGAAGCCGAAATTGAAAAATTACTGGAAGACTGTTAAATACAAAAAGATCAACAAAAGCTTCTAGAATAGGTAAGAATGACACTCAGTTTCTTAATTCTGGATTGGCTGATAAACGCGGGCGAACAAATGAACGACCGTTTGTTTTGAATTTTTTAAATAAATATCGGTTTTCGCACAATATGAAGAATTATCAAGCCCCCAGTTTGCCGTTATCAACCTCAGCCTTCGGCTTCGGTTGATAACGGCAAACTTCGGGCTTGATAATTTTTTATATATCGTGCTCAACCTCATTCAATAATTGTTAAATGTTCACTGCATGCTTTGGCGAGGGGGAAACCGGTCCACAATAAAACAATTATTGTTAGAAGTCAAAACTTGAACTTTTGTTCGTTTGTTTAATTAAGCGCTTAGCACCTAATATTTACTTTTGCGCAACTGAATATTTTTTGGCACTGTACCTTGATTAAAATTACACTTCCCTCTCCAATCAGAATCGAGTAATTTTAATGTACATTATTTTTCACCCTGCTCGGTTTCCTTTGTTCTTATCGGGGAATATATTCAATATTCCCCTCTAATTAATTTCCATTTAATAATCCCCTCTAATATTCACCTGCACAAAAAATGAGAAAAAAACAACATAACGAAGGCAATATGGCATTAAAAATTATTTTTATTCTGACTCATTAAAGCGACCTCGCAGTGTGAAAAATAAGTACGTTATTTTGAGGCACCTTGGGGATATGTGTTTATTCACCTCGGCGCTACGCGCCTCGGTGAATAAATCACATATCCCCTCGTTGCCTTAAAATAACCTATACTTACTAGTATGAAAATTAAATCATTTTATTAATTTCAATAAGTTCGTAATATTGTCTCGCTATGTTGGCTGACATTTTAAAAATGAAAACTTCATTCTGCACATGTATTGACCAATCGTATAACGCTTGTTTTATTCACGTGATTTTACAACACGAAGCTACATGTACTTATACTTTCGCAGAAGAATGTAGCCGACTGATTATTTACCCCGGCTTATTCCAAGTTTATTTGATGTTCCATGGTAAGTAAAAACAATAGCAAATAACTATTTTGTTGGCTCTTATCTGAGAATAAG